GAGAATCAGCACCTCCAAGTCCGAGGCCATGGTTCTCAGTCGGAAAAGGGTGGCTTGTTCCCTTCAGGTTGGTGGAGAGTTCCTGCCTCAAGTGGAGGAGTTCAAGTATCTTGGGGTCTTGTTCATGAGTGAGGGAAGGATGGAACGGGAAATTGACAGGTGGATCGGTGCAGCTTCTGCAGTAATGCTGTCGATGTACAGGTCCGTCATGGTGAAGAAGGAGCTGAGCTGTAAGGCGAAGCTCTCGATTTACTGGTCAATCTACGTTCCGACTCTCACCTATGGTCATGACCGAAAGGCCAAGATCCCGGATACAGGCAGCCAAAATGAGCTTCCTCTGCAGGGTGGCCGGGCGCACCCTCAGAGATAGGGTGAAGTCACCCGGGAGAAGTTCAGAGTAGAACTGCTGCTCCTCCACATTGAGGGGAGCCAGCTGAGGTGGCTTGGGCATCTGTTTCGGATCCCTCCTGGATGCCTTCCTAGGGAGGTGTTCTGGGCATGTCCCACCGGGAGGAGGCCCCCGGGGAAGACCCAGGACACGCTGGAGGGAATATGTCTCTCGGCTGGTCTGGGAATGCCTCAGCATTCCCCCGGAGATGCTGGAGGAAGTGTCTGGAGAGAGGGAAGTCTGGGCATCTTTGCTTAGACTGCTGCCCCCGTGACCTGGTCCCGGATAAGCGGAGGAAAATGGATGGATGGATGGATGGAAGAACAAACAATGAATGTTTGCAGTTTGTGTTTTTATTATTTATCAAAGTCAAGTTTTAATATTGATAATACTGAATCTAAAAACATCTGCCCAGAATTTGAATTTAACATGACATTTCACAGATGAAAATCAAAACTGACAGAGAAGAAAATGTATAATAATGTCACTACATCTACACTATATTTTGTGCATTTTGCACTGCTGTTTGTCACATATCAGCCAACATTTTGTGTACGCTGATGCAGATTTACAGTATCTGCAGTTTTCTAATATCAGCCAGTATGTCGGTGCAGCTGATTTCTTAATGGAGCTGTAAGCGTGTGCAGCAAACATGCACTTCCATTTTACAAACCAGATTTCACTTTGGCCACTCCTTTCCCTCAGATTTTTTTTTTATGTACTCCTCAGACACCTACTCTGACAGTTCCATGTGATAAATTCATTCCTCTTGTTGATAGCTTCAAACTGGAGGCATGTTGCTTTTATATTTATTGCCTCTGGTTGCATTTACACCTGGGTTCAATGTTTTTTGCTGTCTCGGAATATTACCTGGGATGCATATTGAAAATTGGAAAGACTGCAGGCACTTATCTCAAAAAAACAGTTCAGTTGAAATGGAACCCACTAATTTATGTTTGTGCCTGTTTGTCTTTAGGATGCATCTCCCCCAGGTCCCTCTCCCTCCTCGGCAGGGGTACTGGTGCCCCCTAAAGTGGCATCCATAACCTCTGAGCTGCTGGCCCATGCCAAGGTGCAGCTGCCTCTCAACATGTAAGTACACCTCAGGGTGCTATCATCTCAACCCACCTGCAGCCTGGGTTTTAGTCCCTCCTTCCACATGCCCTTTTGTGTTTTTTAACAGAATGGGTATGTGCCTGAGATACAAGCATGATTTAAGAACCTGCCTCACAGCAGTGTTAAAAATATTCCCTCTTCTATGCCCAGAGATATTGGCCATGTTCCACCACCTCTGCAACCACATTTACTCCTCCACTGGTCAAGGATGAAATCCCCTTCAGAAGAAAAATACCGTCACATATTATTTTCAGTTTGTGTGATGCTTAAATCAGTGTTGCATACTGTAGCGAGGCTTTCAAAAGCACAACCATCATGTATGTTATGCATTTTGTTGTACAGCAGGTTACATGCCTTCATAGAGATGAGCACCGGAAAACAAAGTTCCTCACCTACAGCTGTTACTATTTTCTTCAAAAAAGAACTAGGAACAAAAGGTGTTTAGTTTTTACTAACAAATGCTGTACTGCATATACATGTAGCTTAGAGTCTTTGCTGAATAACATGCTATCATATTTCAGCTTTTTAGGAGGAGTGATGAAAAGGAATTCCATATGCAAATGACGTGTGTGGCACAAAAACTACATGAAAAAGCTCACAAAGGTTCCAACCCAAATCTAAATGCATTTGAATTTGGATGATGTCTCAATGCAACACAGCTAAATTGTTAAGAATGTCATATTTAATATCCGCTACTTTTATTTGATCAGATTAATGAAATACTGTATGATTTTTGATTAACTTTATGGAAGTTTTCGCTTTATTTGATAGTGGACAGATGGAGATAAAAGGAGAGAGAGACATGCAAAAACACTTGAGCCACAGATGTTCAATTTACACAGTCAGCATCTTAAATCCTCAGGCCACCAGGAACACTGACAGCAAGATTTGTATCTGTCTGAATGGGCCAGAAAATAGAATATTCAGATGCTACGTATAGATATTAGAGAGGTAAGATGACTCAGTATGGAAACACAGACAGGTAATGTTACATAGGCAGCAGGCTCATTAAAAAAAGCCAGAATCCACCTGACACACATTCACTAACACAATTAAGTTTTTGTGGAAACATAGCCTCATTCAGTGACATCCAGATGGCTGCTGAGGCGCCAACGCTGAGCAAAAACTGTCTATCATGTGCTTTGTAACTATTCTACCAAGTAACTGCCAAATGGATACAGGTATCTTCAAGGTGAGTGTGTGTTTCCTGCCTTGTACTTCTATCTTTGTGTGGACTAATTTGAGTTTTAAACCTTAAGATTAAGGATATTTGTGGAAAGTGAAAATATCATTTTTCAGCATAAATTACATACTGTATATAGGGTTCCTTTTGTGTTTACACGGAAGATGTGTGAATTAAGAAAGTCTTTGAGTGGGCAATGCAGAGGATACTGTATATAGGTTTCTTAGTATTTAGTTATGTTTTTTACAGATTTTTCGCTGTTTCTCTTATTAAGGACTTTATACTTACGATTTGCTTTTAGTGGTGAATTGGTGAAATTGCCCTTTAATAAAAAGTGGGTTTGTCCTGCTGATGAGGTCAGGTATTTCCAGCTTGACCTGGCAACAAACTGTTCCTGTTGCCATGGGTAGAAGGGAGAGGGTCCCCACATCTGTTACCATGGCAACGGGAAGGCAGCGCATATAGGGCTTGTTTACTCTGTTGCTCTTATCGTCCTCTGTAGGAGTCTGACGCTACATACTACAAATGTCTCCCAGTGACAGGACCAGAAACTCATTTATATGTTAATGCAGATGCAGTACACAAGACTCAACACATAAACACAGTCACGTGTAAGACGCCAAGTACTACATTTATCAGTGTACCTGTTAATAGGCAGGTAAACAAGGGCATATTGATTATGTACCCACACAGCCATACCATACAGTCTGACAGAGAAAATCTTTCAGGCAACCTCTGGCGGTTATGTTACTACCTCAGACAGAACCAGCTTGAACTCTCTTTAGGAATGTAATGTTAAGAAATTAAATGCCAGGCTACAGTGCAGTATTAAACCACTAACGCTATATGGGTTTGATGTGACTCAGCCTGTTTCTGATTATGATTTTTTTTTGTGCAGTTTTAAAATGATATTTTTCAACAGCTAGGTTATATATACATTATGCTGTATAATGCCTATGCTATATTGGACAAACTGTTTTTCTCAGAAATTGGTCAGTTGTGATATGGACAAAGATTACTTGCTGGAATTAACATATTAAAAGGAGAGTAATACTTAAATTTACCCATAAATAATGTTCATGTATCCTCAGATCACGTACCTGGTAAAATGATCACGTGCTTAGTGTTTTTGCCTAAGCAAAATTTAATTGTATCTCAAAATTTTCTGTAAAAGTTTTGGCAGTGTAGCTCCTTTTTTAAGTGCAGTAAATGACGCTGTTAATGTTGTTGGTGTTTTGGTTCTGAAAGGAATCCCTGTGCTTCAGGGATTACAGCAGGGTGTCCACTAATAAAAGGGTTAACGGTTTGATTCCTGGTCTCATTTCAAACTGTCTTTGGACAAGTCACTGTACCACAAGTTGCGCCCAGTGGCCTGGCCAGCACCTTGCATGGCAGCTGTGCCACCATCGCTGTGCGAGTGTGTGTGAGATTCAGTGAGTGGGTGGCTGTAAGTGTAAAGTGCTTTGACTGGTAAGGCAGAAAAGCACTATAGGGTGTAAAACAGGCATGAAAGTGGGAATGGATGATAAATAGCGGGAGGACCAGCCAGCATGGTTCCACTGTTAACCTGCCAAAGATCCTGTTGTATATCAGTATATTGTTTGGTGATCTAATAAAGGATTAAAGGGAGAGTCAACGATGTACAGTGTTATTCTTCAATCCTCGGCAGTGTACAGTTAAACTACGAGAAATCAAAAGTGTTAAAACACAGTTTATTTATTAAAACCTTATTTTTTCTTTTTGGTAAATATGGTGGGCAAACTTTTAGACTTGGTAGAATAACTCCAAAACCTGTTTCTGACAAGTGAACAAAGCAAAGTATGACAAATGTTCGAGTCACTTTCTTGATACCAGAGGAATTACTGTATTTGAATCAAGTAAAAGAGATTAGAAAATTATGGGAAATTCTCTTCTACCTCCTTAACCCACTGACAGAAATGTCTTCTCATTATTTAATAGACTAAGTTACTAATTTAACAAGTTTATTTGCATTTTGCATTTGTAATTACTTAGCTTTTTGAGAAAGCCCACTGGATGATAGTTGGTGTTGTTGCTGCTGAGCAGTTCTTTGGCATTTTCTACATAGTTTAATGGTTTTATTAGTTGATTTACTTCTACATGATCTCTTTTGCCTTTGTTCCACAGATATCTGGCTCTGTACGCCTACAAGCCTCAGAAGGCTGATGAGCTTGAACTTAGGAAAGGTGAGATGTATCGGGTGACAGAGAAATGTCAAGATGGATGGTTCAAGGGCACCTCACTGAGAACTGCTGCCTCCGGTGTTTTCCCCGGAAACTATGTCACCCCCGTGTCCAGGTCAGTGAACTACTGTGTCATCACTAGGCCTGTATCCAGACAAAAGCGAGTAGCAGTCATATTAGGGGTGCATATTTAGAAAAGTATCTTAAAGTACCTCTTCCTTTGCACAAGATGGAAAAAATGACTGAATTGCTAGAGAGACCATGGTATGAGCACAGGGCACCCAAATTTAATCCCTACGGCCACGTTGTGTTCACACCTTTGCTCCGTTTATTACCCTGTTTATTTGGATTTGGATACATTTTTCCACACATGCAGATGGTGATGGCGCAAACACACTCATTGTAAATGACATAGTCATTTTTCATGGTCTGTTCCTAGCTCCAGCTGAACCTAAATACAGATCAGGCTGTGTTATTTAGGTCCTTGTTATGGCATGTAATTGCACGTGTCCACATGCTCAAACTGCTTTGCGACAAAGGGATGCCCAAAAAAATCTATTTTACCAGCTGCAGCTGTCGGAGCCGCATGTGGATTTTGTATTTCTCATGGTGATTTTTTAATACTCTATGTATTCCTCGTGCTTTAGCCTGCACTCCGCATCGTGCACCATTATGTTGGGATAACACCTCTGGCTAACAAAACTAATGAAATCATTTGGTCTCATCAGCCACCATCAACTGCATCACAAACATAGCCTGAGAAGTATTTCCCAGGGGGATTGTAAACTGTTATAAACACAGGGATGAAAACACTTTTTATCTATTGGAATGTAAAAATGTGTGAATCCCAGTTTAAAGTAATTTATCCCTATCGGAACATTTGGTTGTTGTCCTTGTTTTGTCTTGTAAAAATCTTTAAATCTTGCAAAGATGTTTTTTAAAAATGTATCACTGACTAGTTAAAAGTGAAACAAAGGGAAAAAAAGATGCACTGAATTAGATTTAAATGCAAACTTGAACTAAATACAATATATTTAAAATGTGTTGCAGCAGTCAGCTCATACAGGCTCTACCTTTCTAATGTCGAGTCACTTCATATTCAGAGTAGATTATTATCATCATTATTGTTACCTTTGGCATCATGAAGCAAATAAAATAGACAAATGAGTGTACTGAAATCATATTTGGCAATTCAGTTACACTCATTATCCCTGTGTGCATGAAAACAATTGCATTGCCTGTTCATCTAATCTGTATTCTGTTCAATGATGCCGTCAAAAAAAATAGAGAGAGGAAGAAAATGAAAGCAAGGGAGAAAGCTGATGAGCTAAAGAGAGGATAATGTAAGATGAAGAAGGATACATAATCAGAAGAAAGATACCTATGGGTGAGAGAAATGAGAAATGAGGGGAGGAAAGGGGTAAAAGACTGAATGGGGTGGGAAATGATAAAGGTGAAGAAGGCAGAAAGATGGACAAATTGAAAAAGAAGCTGCAAAAGAAAGAGAAAGTGATACAAAGAGATGCAGTGACTTCAAAAACAGCAGGTGTCCCTCTTCAGTGGATATGAATGGCTGCTTCACATTCTGCAGTTATGCAATCTTAGACAGAGAGAGAAAGGATGGGCGAGTAATCAGATGAGAGGCAATTTGTTATTTTTACACAAGCACACACTCTCCTTCTCCCTCCATCTCTCCTTGTCTCTCCCCCTTCTTTGTCTGCAGTGCAGCTCAGAAATTTCTTGGTATGATAATGAGAGTCTGCACATACACGTCATTCTTTTTAAAATGCAGTTTAAATATTTACATTTTAGCGGTGGTATTTTGTATCCTGGCTGACACTAACATATGCCAATTTGATTAGTTTGCATATAAGAGTGTATGAATACAATTTTACTATTGTTATTCTGTATTCATTTGCAATTGATGGTGTAAAAGCTATTTCAGAGTTTTTTCCACTGCAAAAGAGCAGCTTTGGTGTTCAAACTGCATTTGTCTCCTCTGATAAAATAGTCTCTTACTTAAAGCTACTGATAGCAGCCACATGTAGAGAAAACCCATGTGTTAAATCCAACACATACAGTAAACAGTTAAAAATACAGAACCTCATATCAAAGCATAACTTTGCTGTTTGTGTTGGTCGAAACACACACATACACACACAAAGAAGGCCATAATTCTATATGTGTGTGACAGGAAGTCAATGAGCAGCCGTGAGAGTGTGAACACCGCTGCATCAATAATGTCCAACTTACTGTTCTGCCATTCAGGACACTGCTGACAGAAACATGAGCAGCCTGCAGCTCCATACATGTTACAGCAAGACACTGATCCATCAGTCAGATAATAGCACTGAAATCACTCACTTTGTCATGTGATAACAATACAAATTGCAGCTCCTGCTCTGCAGTTACAAGGTAGATTGTGGTTATTACACATCATGATGGCAGCTTTGTGAGGATGTACTTAGGCACAGTGGTGCTTTGTGCGATATGCAGTTGTCAGCATGCTAACGTGCTCACAATCACAATGTTAACACTCTGAGAAGAAGGTATAATGTTTAACAGGTTCACAAATGTATTTAACATGTTAGCATGCTAACATTTCCTGATCAGCCCTAAAGACAGTGCAGCTGTCATTTTGCTGGTACAGTAGACCAAAGTCGTGGTGTTGCTGTAGATGAAAACTTAAGGGATCACCAAAAAGATTAAAAGTCATCTTTAGAGGGACATCAATGTCTGCACCAAATTGGATGACAATCCATCCCATAGTCATTGAGACATTTAATTTAAAACTACAAATGCAGGCACTCCAATAGCTGAGTGGTTTCAGCGGACGCCATGTGTATCTCCACATTGTGTAGGCAAAGTCTGCAGTTGGAGACCCTGTTCCTGTCCTCCTCTCTACGACCAACTTCTCAAATAAAGGCATACGTTTCTGAGAAAATATTTTTAATAAAGGAAAACAAATGCCTACCATGGGGCCTATGCTGCTAGGTAATACTAAACATGCATTTACTGGCGTGAAAGCAACACCAGTGTTTCTAAAGCACTACACTTTGTGTTAACATATGTATATCTGACAACAGCAGAAATTAGTAAATCAGTTACAGTATAATCATCTGGAAATTTCAATAACAAGTCGATATTTGTCTCGCCTCTCTCTTCTTTGAAGGGCTTCATTTGGAGTGGGTGCTACTCGAGGCTCGGGTCTGTCCAGTCCAGTGGGTAGTGGAGGAGGTGGGTGTAGTCAGGTGGGGAGTAAAATCTCTGACCCTTCGTCGCCAGGGTCCCCGGGGCCCTCTTCATCCCGTCCCTCCACCCCACTAGTAATCTCATCCAACTCTATTTGTCCTGCCTCTTCGCCGCAAACTGCCGCCGCTCAGCTGAAGAACTGCCTGCGCTCCGGTCAGCATATGGTTAACCAGGCACGCACCTCAATGCAGCTGGGTAAGGAAAAACATATACAAATACTTATGATGTGTTTTACTCTTTAAGCACTTTAAAACTCTGTATTTACAATGGAAATGGAAACAGTTTAATTTTGTTCTGTTTGAACTATTTATTGATAAAATCCAGACACACATCAACAAAAATGGTGCAGCCCACCATACCATGGAAGGTAAAACAGAAACTGTGGGGCTCATGTGAATGACAGTCTGCTATTTAGCGGTATAACAAGCCACATTAAATTCTAGAAAATTATCAGTATATAAAAAAATAGTTGTATCTTGATACAGAAAAATGTTCCACAAGCTAAAAAGTACTGAATCACTTACAGATGTACTGCATCATGCTCTGCAGCATCACCTCCTCCACTAACTGCTCACTAGCCTGCAGGTTTAAATGAGCAGGGTCCAGACCATTTGGGACCTCGCAGCATTTTAGCCCCTTTGTCTATGATTACAGGATAATAGAATATTGATCAGTCATTAATTCAAGTAGCCTGTACACCTTGTAAAAAAAATTGCAGGCATATGCTTTCAGCCATCTCTTTAACCTCCACTTTCTTCAGTGCGTTTAGTCATGTGTGAATTTATTTGGGGAGAACAAAAAATAGGCTGGATTAATGCCACAATAAATGAGGAGAAAGAGCTTCGGTTACTGGTGCTCATATTCACTACAGGGTCAAAAGCATGTAGACGCTTGAACAATACGATCACATGAGAAAGTTGGACATTTCATTCCAACAGTTGACACTCTTCTGAGAAGGCTGTGCTGGGATTTGCTTTCATTTAACCAAAACAGCAGTAGTGAGGTACTGCACTGATGTTCACTGGATCACAGTCGCTGTTCCAGTTCCTCCCAAAGGTGTTGGATGGGTTTGAGGTTAGGTCTTTCTGCAGTCTGTGTCTTTATTGGCCTCAGGAGTTATGTGTTTTGAATTGCGATTCATATATAGCTTTTATTGGCCTCAGGAGTTATGTGTTTTTGAATTGCGATTCATATATAGCGATTTTGTGTCTGTAAATTTTCCATCACAAACAGGCAAACATGTTTACAGTTGCACCTATGGGGTATTTTGAGTCTGCAGTTCACCTAACTGTCTCATACCTATTATTCCGTTTATTAGAAAGCAGAGACAGAACCATGAAGGCTGACTGCCAGTATGAGACTGGATGTGAGCCTCTGTTAAGCAGCTGTTTGAAGCTAACATTTAGACACACTTGTACTTTCCCATGCGCTTTATGAACTCACTGAATCAACACTGAACATGAGCCACTATTGCTGAATAATTGTACAAAAACATGTCGTAATTTAGAGTAGAACAACTTAACACCGTCACTGTATTACAGCATGCACTCAGACATACAAACGGTGCACACACTTTATGCGCACAAAAACAAAGATGTTGTTAAATGCTGAGATTGTGCAGTAGTGCTGTTTGTGTCACAAGCACACACAGCCTTCAGAAACACACACACACACACACACACCTGTGTGTGCGCACAAGGTCTAGATTATATCAGCCTTGCGCTCCACTCAGTCTCTTCATTTCTTCAGTACTCTTTTCTCCATCTTTGTGTCTCTTTTCCTTCACCCTTTAAGAAAATAATCATCGAGGTTTCTTTGGGGAAGCTGAAGAGTACACACAGTGAGAACAGTACCCCCACACACACGAACACAGCTACACACTAACATACAGTGAGAACAGTACCCCCACACACACGCACACAGCTACACACAAGTGAACACACAATCACAGAACTGAATGACATCACTGTGTTTTGTTTTATGGAGGCATAATGACAGAGCTTCATGCCTCTCTCTCTCTCTCTCTCTCTCTCTCTCTCCACCTCTATCAATTTTCTCGCTGTCTTTTCCCTCTCTCTCTCTCGCTCCCTCGCTGTCACAGGCAAGCACACACATACACACATCTGGTCTCCATTACAAAATAATGTGTATACTTCTTGTGTTTAGTGGTTTTATCACATGACCAGTGCGCCTCTCTATGGATTTGTGCCAGAGTACTGAAAAGCAGGTGGCTAGCAACCCTGCTTGTGTGCGTGTGCATGTCTCTATGCTTATGATTGTGTATTTTTGGATACTGTACTGTATTTTGTATTTCACGAGCACCAAATGTCCTCGTATAAATTAAAGGCTGAAAAAGTGCTCCAAACCTTTTGGGTTTAAGTCAGACCAAAGATGTGCAGCTGAGGCGTATTGAAGGTGCTTAAAGGATGGAACAAATTTTTAAGTCTGTCTTAAAAAAATAGTCAAGGTCCCATATTAGCTAGGTGTTAGCATGACAAAACTTGTTACAGTGTACAAATGGGTTCCAGACTATTGTTTTAAAACAAATTTGAAATAAAACTTTCAGCATGTACTCCTTTATTAACTCTACATTTTGAAGTAGGTTATTTGTAAAAGACATTGCATTACTGTATCTCTGTTAAAGGCTAGCCACCTCTCTGCAATGTTTCTCTGCCTTTTACTCAGTACATGCAGGGTTAGGCTGTGGCTCAGGGGGCAGAGCGAATCGTCACCTAACGGTACAGTCAGCAAGTCGATCCTGGCTTTTCCAGTTCACATGTCAGAGTGACCTTAATCAACACATTGAACCCAGTGATATCACCGGAGTATGAATGGAAATAGTATAAAGGGCTCTGAGTGCACTTCAATGCATAGAGCATTATATACGACCATTTACCGTATTTGCACACTATTAAGCACAACAGTGCGTCAATTAATTGCATTTAACATCCAAAAAATATTGTAAAGTGATTGCAGCAGTGAGTGAAAAGCTCTCGCAGATTTATTGATGAACATGTTTATTTGTGTTTGTTTTAGTCCACAGTCCTCCTGCTGGAAGCCCAGAGCGCCCCGCAGTTGGCATCTCTCCAGTGCGTCCTCATAGCTCCTCCCCCTCACGTTGCCCCAGCCAGTCAGGTCGTCCTCTCTCCATGGTGTCTCCAGGACCGAGCTTAGGGCCCTCACCCCTCTCTTCCCCTGCTTCACGACCGCTCCTCCCCCTTTCGTCCCCTCTGTCATGTCTCACACCTCCTAACGTGTCAGTGGTGCTCCTCAATGGTGAGCCAGCCAGTCCACTGCAGCCTCCTTCACCCGGTCCCTCCCACGCCCCCACCCAGGGCGTCCTCGCACCCAAAGTAGAGAAGGTGAGCCTCACTCTTATTAATGATTTTCAGCTCATTTTAGCTGAGAGTCAAATGCCATTAGTTTGTTCTGATATATAGCGTTTGCACCAACATTCACCAGTCACATTGTGAAGAATCCTTTGTGGAAACAGATACTGGTAGTGGCCTCAATTTACCAGAATTTTTTTATATGCAGAAGATTTGTTTAGACCAGCCAGCACTTTTTCTCTGATAGAATATTTGGATGCCTTGTCTCTCTTCTATTTTTTCCTGCACATGTGTAATCAAGAGCTGATGCAGTAACTTCACACATTTTTTTTCTGGAAAGAATTGTAGGATATCACTTGTACAAGTGCATAAATACAAGACATAGTATTGGAAATTAGCTTCCCCAAAAACAAAAATCACAACTGTTGATCATGAAATTGGTCTTTGAATATTGATTGTTGGAAACAGAATGTTCATTTGATGGTCGACTTGGACAACATATCAACACAGATGAACATACAGAAAAACAAAACATTTCAAAGCTAATAAAGAGCACAGTGTTAACTATTGTCATCATCTGCCAATCATTTTCTTAGTTAATCAGAAAGTCGTTTGGTCTCTATAATGTCAGAAAATGTCAATAGCTTTAATATTTTATTTTGTTCAATCACCCCCCACCCCCCAAAATTGATTTGCTACCACATAAGACTAAGCAAAGCAACACCACCTCAGCACCAACATTTGGTATTTTGGCTTAAAAATAATAAAAACTATTAATCGATCGTCACAATTCTCTGTGAATCATTTACTGTCAAGTACTTAGTCTTTGAATCAATTGTTTCAGCACTAAATCAAACCATTATTTATGAAGCAGCTGTTTTGTTGGAGGAGGGTCTTCAGTATAGCAGGTTACAAGTTTTTAAATTTGCATTTAATTCACACCTCCAGAGCACACAGTCCATCTTTAGGACACACAGATAATAAGTGCAAGGGATAAAAAATTAAAAAAAACAGGGTGCCGCTTCTGCTTTCTTTAGCTCCGGGTGTTTTAGTCATCCTGTAAGTAAAACGCCACATACTCTATATTTTGACTGACTTTAACATCATGTGAGCTGAAAACAGGTTGTGTGTCCCAGACTTCACACGTTAGTGGATGTGAAATCTGTGGTGTGTATGTCTGTGGGTATGTGATGTGCCCATAGTCCTTCCCTACCTGAGGAAGTGTCATTCACTCAGGGAGCTGGCACAAACGCTGAATGCTATCCTATATGCTGTGAGATCTGCGGTGTTAAAGCTGTTGCTGCACTGACAGTGAAGGATGGCACCAAATGCTCACATCTGTCTCAGCTCCATTTGTTTCACTGTTGGCTCCTCTGCCTGGGACAGCTAATCTAACTACATGGCTAGCTGACAAACAGCTCATTGACTATGGAACAGCAGGCGGTAGCCTTGTTTACATCATCGCGCTCTAAGATGGCTTGAACTCTTTTTTTTTTTTTTTTTTTTTTTTTAAGAGGCCAGATTCAGGATTATACTCTCCCATTTAAAATATGCCAAGGTCATTAAAGAATTAGTTACAATAAAAGGTAATTTGTAAAAAAAAAAAATAATTCACCCCATCTTTAAATATCATTATGATCTTAAATAATATTTCCACTTTACTACAAGAAATTTTTTTTTAAACAAAATATCCAAATGTCATGATTTGAGATGGTTTGGGAGTTGGGTTTTTTCAGTTAGCATTAAAATCCTATGAAGTGACAAGCTGCCTTTCCCAGCCTAAATCACTCTCACCCAAAACCACCTCTCAATATTGAATTTTCTGTTGTTGCTGTAGTGTCTAGTGTTGATTAATCGGCGTTTCAGAATCAGAGTTATTCACCAAGTAACAAGGATTTCGGTGTAGTTCACAACATAAACAACAGACAATAACATAATATAATCAACATAGACAATAAAAAGGTATAACTATAATAGTAATGCTAAAAATATTTAAAAAAAAACAGTGCAAGAGGAGACACTGGATTATTAACAGTGTGTTCAGGAGTGCTGGACTGTGTGCTTATTAACACAAGTGTGCAGAGGAGCAGCGTACTGTGTAATTATCCAGCAGTGAAAAGAAACTGCATATGAAAAACACAGGGTGCAAATAGAAGATGAGAATTAATATTAAAGTATGCTTCATCTGTGCTAGATACAAGGTGCACACAGCCGCTGTGGGCCTGAAAGCAGATGTGTATGGGGTAGTTAGGTTTACATATTGTCCTTGTTAAAGAAGGAGTTCGAAGCTGTGGACGTGGCAGGTGGTCTTGGTTTTGAGGTGTCTCGGTGTGGTTTTTCTCTAAGAGGAGAGTTTTAGGAAGAGGTGCTGGCAGGACAAGAGGGTTCAGACACGATCTTACCAGGTAGTGGAGGAGAAGATGATTGACTCAGTGATTCCAGTGTAGAACTGCATCAGCAGCACATGTGACACTTTGTGATTTTTCTGTCCAAGCACTGCCCTCCCCTTCTTGGTGATGGAGGATGTGGTATAAGGAAAAATAAAAATCTGCCAAAAAGCCACCACAATACTTGTGTTTATTTATTTGTTCTTCTGTTTTGTTTTGTTTTGTTTTTGGCCACACAGCTCAGTATATGAAATTTAAGTATTGGCAAAAATAATAAGCCATTGCAGTCTTTTGCCACAGAACACTATATCACCATATTAGCAAATGTTCAGCCTAACCCTCATTCCCACTCCTTACCTTTGAGCTTGGCAGAACAGAAACATGATGTTTGAAGTGAGGGTGACAGTGAGGCTGCACGGAGTTGGACTTCGTTACAGGGGAAATGATGAAGCGGCTATGATAACGGTGTGGCAGACACAGGGGGGATCTCTGTTATGCTCGCTACCACCGTGGAGAGCACAGCCGGCATTACAGACACATATCACGTTGAAAATCTGAAAACGTTGAGATCTGTTTGGAGACCGTTTCAAAGAAGGTGGTGCATGCGAGGCAACTAACAAAGAAATAGCAGAAGTGCTTGCAGAAACTCACTTGAAAAACTTTAAGACCTTGAGCCTAGATAACGTTCAATTTCAGTTTTGACTTTACTATGTTCAAACAAAATTCAGAGCTACAGTAACATGATCTAGTTCATTTTTTCCCCTTGCGTGTAAATATTGTTGCGTGTAGATAGGTGAGTGGTTGACTTATTAGCTTCAGAGACAGAGACCAGCATCCAGGGGGTTACTCCTATCATCCCTGAGGTTAAATTCAAAACTCTATTTAGTTAACTCGACACTGACGACGGCTTCTTTCTAGATGTGACAGCTTTTAAATTAATGTATGTGTATGCATGAGCAGCTTCATTCATTTGGACTGAAGGAAAACTTCACACATACATGCATTTATTTACATGTCATGCAAAATTAGATATAATTTGTATGTCAGAGCTAGATTGAATTGTGAGGGTCTGCTGCTATCTGGTGGTTTATGTTTGAAATAACAGCAGCAGCATGACTCACTAATGTAAACACACACATATGTAGAGGGAAGCACACACACTTATTGGAGGCAGATTAAGCCTTTAAGCCTGCAGATGAAAGAAGTGAGGGAG